GAAGACAGCAGCAAACCGTTTCTATATTCTTGTAAAACTAAAAAGTAAAGCAAACTACATAGAGAGCCAGATTGGTGTAGGGGTTAAGGTGCTGGCCTAAAAACCAGGAGACTCAACACTGCTCAACACTGTCCAGATATACAGCCAAGATATTGCAATAGAGTTTTGGACTGGACAAATGTACCACCCATACCATCCACAGGGGAAAAATAGTGAAAACTGAAGGAATCAAGATGCCTTATGGAAATAACGTCAAAAGTCTAGATGAAGATGATCACTACAAAAATCTGGGCATCCTTTAGGCTGACAACATCAAGCACACTGAAGTCAAGAAGAAGGTTAGTAGTGACTTCATCAGAAGAATGAAGAAGGTCTTAAAGTCCAAATTCAGTGGTGGAAATACCATCAAGGCAATTAACACCTGGGCAATTCCAGTCATTAGATATACAGCTGAAATAGTGGACTGGATTCAAGCTGAACTAGAACCCCTGGATAGGAAGACCAAAAAAATAATGACAATGAATCATGCCCTTCATCCATGCAGTGACATTTGCAGACTCTATTTACTAAGGAGTATAGGTGGGTGTGGAATGTTGCAAATGCACCAGACAGTTGAAGAAGTAAAAAGGGCATTGGAAGAATATCTGAAGGACAATGAAGAAGATGCACTGAAGCTAGTATACCATGAAGATTTACTGAATACCAAAGAGGCCAAACTGGCCTATAAGAAAGACAAATGAAGAATAGAAAAGAGACATGGCAAGGCAAAGCATTACATGGCCAGTACACACACACACACAAAAAAAACTAGCACGCAAAGCAGATAACAAGACCTGGCAATGGCTAAGAGCAGGAAAATTGAAGAAAAAGACAGAGGGACTAATTCTGGTTGCACAAGACAAGACTTAAGAACAAATGCATATAAAGCCAGAATTGAGAAGACAGCAAATGCTGTCTCTGCAAAGAAGCTGAAGAAACATTGGACCACCTAGTTAACTGCTGCAAGAATATTGTACAGATTGATTACGAACAACCACAGGACAAAATAGCAACAAAGGCGCATTGGAATATCTGCAAGAAATACCACTTGCCTCCAAGCAAGAACTGGTGGGGCCATAAAATAGACAAAGTAATAGAAAATGAAGAAGCTAAAGTGCTCTGGGACTTTAGAATTCCACAGACAAGCATCTGCCACACAATTTAATAAATAAATAAATAAACACCCCTCCTAAACAATTGTTGATAAGAAAGACAAAAAAGACTGGATAGTGGACATTGCAATACTTGGAGACAGCAGAAGAGAAGAGAAAGAACAGGAGAAAATCACAAAATATAAAGACCTGCAATTAGAAGTAGAATGACTGTGGCAAAAGAAAGCAAAAATTGTGTCAATAGAAATAGACACCTTAGGTGCACTTCCAAAACATCCAGAGCACTACTTGAAGACCATTGGCATTGACAAAATCACCATCAGTAAATTGCGAAAGGCAGCTTTACTTGGAATAGTTTAAATCCTGCAACGATACCTTTAATATTATTAAACAACAACATCTGCCTATCCCAGGTCCTTGGGAAGGACTGGATAGTTGGACAAAAATACCAAATCCAGCCTAAACATCTGGCTGATTGTGCGACCAACCATAATAATAAACATCAAGGATTCCAGGGAGTTTCTATTCTATGAATGGTCTATTGCTGTCCTTTTCTGAAATTTCAGTATATCTGAGACATTACGGATGCCCAAAGAAAGTTGATTCAGTTACTCCACAATGGAATGACAGGACAGGTTCTTTACAATGGTGATACATCAGCTGCATTTGCCATTTCCAATGAGGTAAAACAGGGTTGTGTGCTTGCCCCAGTCCTGTTCAATCTGTTCTTTGTTTGCATGTTGTCACGTGCTGTCCAGGTACTGATTGGATGGCTCTCTCTTTGACCTTTGCTGATGACTATGTGCACCTGGTGCACAAAGACTGGTCTACAGTTGATGCTGAAAAAATTCTCAGATGCTGCTATGCTCTTCGGCCTATCAGCCTGAACAAGATTGAAGTACTTTACCAGCCTGTGCCAAATACCAACCCCGTAAAACCAAAAAATCACTGTTGACAACACCCAGCTGACAGATGTAAACAGCTTCAAATACTTGGGAAACATCATCTTGAATGATGGGTCTTTGGACAAAGAAATTGATTCCAGGATCAGCAAGGCCAGCCAGACACTGCTCTATAGGGTTCTGGAGTCTGGGAAGAGACCTTGAGGTTGACCATGCAAGCGCTACAATGACGCTATGAAAGAAACCCTACACCACTGTGACATCCAGCCAAAGGAACTAGAAGCTGTGGCTGATGACAGTATCCGTTGGCGAGCCCTGTGTTATGAAGCCTCCACTGGCTTTGAAGACATGCGCTGCCAAAAATTGATAGAAAACCATGAGCAGCATCACAGAATAACACCGACAGGTACTACAACAATGGACTTCCAGTGTCCCCATTATGCTAGACTTGCACTTCCAGACTGGGACTGCAGAGCCACCTCCATGTTCACAGATGAACTGCACAATAGTGTCTTCTTCAAACCCAAAGGATGCCAACCCTCCATTGCTGTCCTTTTCTGAAATTGCAGTATCTCGTTGATATAGCTAGATGGCAGTGTCGAGCTATTCTAAATGGCACTAATATTCCAACTAGTCTCTGAAGGGTATACACTTACTTCCAAGATATCTCTGCTGAAAGGAAGGTTTGCAGTGGGAGACAATCATATCTGAAAATAAGTCGCAGTACCTGCTATTAATGTCTTCACTATGTTAAATTAAGTGGTTAAGTGGCGGAGTGATGTACTGTGTTCCATAAAGCATGAACAACTGGAATCTAATGTGAACTAGATATATAAAAGAAATCTCCCCTGGATTTCTTTTATCCTGAAATGCCATGAATTTGCCACAATGGACTCTGCCATGGCATACATGGTGCCAGTCAATGCAAATTGTTGGCATCTGTTGTCAGCCAGAAATGTAGGTAAAACCAATGTACTTTAAGGAAAATGAGTTAAACAGTGTATAAAAGTATACTGTATCTGTGCTAAGTTGTGATTACACAGTACATATGAAGGGAATTTGCAAAAAACAATTACATTAGCGTAAGATCCTTAGGCTGTTGAATAGAAAAAATTAACTATTGGAATATTCATTTAAATTGTATGTTGTAGATTTGCAGGAAATTTTTTTTTACTTATATCACCAATGCAGTATGAAAGATGTACAGATTGATAATTAAGGGTAGGACATATGCCTATATATATATGGGTATATATAGGGTAGGACATATGCCTATATATACATGTGCATTTGGTGTCAAAGAATATGGATATTTTTGTATAAAGCAGGACTATTATTTTTCATGAGGCTTAGTCATTGAGGAAGACTTTTGTTCTGTCTAAAATCTTAGCTGATGGCCATCCCTGCTCTTACACAGGATGTAAAAATATAATAATTTTTAAAAGTCTTATTTTCATAATATAACAGTAAGAGACAACCAGGCTGTTATGGTTTAGAAAGGGTCTTTGTGCTTGCTGATTCTCTCACAGATGTGTACCCCTAGATAGTATGAAGTATGAACTCTGTTGAATTGGATGAATTGGCACCTTGGGTTGTTTGTAAAAAAACATTAATAAATGTTTGAAGAACCAGGGATTTTTTCCATTGGTTAAAAAATCAACCAATGGAATGAGTCGATTACAAACTTTCTTAAGAACTTTCCGTAGATTTTAATTTTGTTCAATGAAGGAGTAAAAATGCTTGACTCCTCCACGTTTAGGCTGTATTTTTCTGCGGCATTTCATGCTTTTATTCAATTGGCCACAGCAGAACTTCTTCTGTTGGTAATTGTCATATCCTAGCTTTTTCAGGATTGGAGTACCTTAACGTAATTTAATTTTTTAAAAAGGTCATTCTGTGCCATTGCATTGTTCCATCCATTAACCCTTTAATTTGATTAATAATTTCATAAAGAATGCTTTGAATATTGCCTTTCTTCTTTCTAAGGCCTTTTTTTTTTCTTTTGATAAGATGATTCAAAATCAGGCAGTAGAGATAAAACTATTATAAGTGACACATTGTCTTTCATCAGTCTATCTGGCAGCAGAGGAGCAATTATCCAAATTTAACTTTTATTTTTAAAAAATCCCAAACCCTAGGTTACTTATAGACGTCTTGTTTCAATGAAAGCAAGATACAGGACGTAGTTAAAATGAAATAAAATAAGAAGTTCTGCTTGAAAGACATCCTTTATATTGATTAAAAATAGGGGCTCCCCCCTCAGTTCAGTAATGAATGATATGCAAATATATTCAGTGGACACTTATTTCTTATTTGGCAAGAACAGAGAAGTGTAAATAGGACTAGTTTCCATTTTCACTTCATATCACCTTGTAACTGTCAGTAACACCTCTTAATGGAGACATAGGCTTGGTATGAAATGGCTGTGCCTTTCTTTGCTGTTTCCTGGGTGATCATGATTTGTGTGTGTGTGTGTGTGTGCTCAGCATAGTAGCAAGCTGTTGTAGCATAACTTGATTGGCATTTGAGTGTCTCATACATAGAGCATGCTGTTATGGCATGATGATTTAATTGAATTAAGCATAAGCTACCCAAATCCTCACTGAATTCAAGTGAAATGCATGCTTAAATCACTGCTGTTGAAATCAGTGAGATTTAAAGCATTCAGTTTTGTTTGAAACAAGCTACATATTTCAAATATATATCTGTAGGAACTGGATTTATGAAGGCAAAAATATACAGAAATGTAATGAAAACTACACTGCTGTTTTTTTGTAATTTCAGGTACTTCGAGCACATATATTGCCACTCACCAATGTTGCCTTTAACAAATCTGGTTCTTGGTAAGTTTGGATACGTATCTAAATTCAAAGTGATCTAAATGGTAATAGTATGGCTAAACTTAATTTGTATTTGGTACATTTAACAATCCATATTTTCCTGTGCTCTTGTTTTAAGTAAAGAAAGTTGATTAAAGTCAAGTAGGGGTAGGAAAGGCCAAAACTATAGCAACAGCAACAGCAGTAGAAAAAACCCTCAATTAAAATGTTTTAGTAAAAAATAGAAAGGAAAATGACATTGAATAAACATTTGATACAACTTTTTTATCTTTTCCTTAGCCAATGTTCTGCTTTTTCTACCAATTCCTTGTAATACTGGTAATTAACAATGTAACATAAATCTACCATTTTAAAAATGTCATTCACTGAGATGATATTTGAAGCTATTAAGGTAAAAATTTGAATAGCATGCCACAATGCTGAACTTATTCTTTTCCCAGTTTACTTATGCTGTGGTGAATGTTTTATTAATATTTATGTAATACCAAATTGTCACCAAAATCTAGGTTTTAGGCTGCAAACCTACCGAGGCTGCAAATAATTATTTACATAGGGCAAGTCCTATTAAACACATTAGATTGTATCATTGTTCAACAGTTCAAAAATACAAATGTGCATGTAAGCCCTTGACATTTTTCAGTTTTTTACTAGTAATACTTCATAACTAGTAGCAAGTGTGACATGGGAAGAAATTCTCCTTAACTTCTCCCTATTCAGTAGAAAAAAGTCTTGGATTTGGGGGGGAAAAATCCAAGTCAAAACTCCAGGAGAAAAGGAGGAAGCAGGGGGGTCAGGAGAGGGGATTTCTGTTATTTGTGTTCTCTCTACATGCTCAGTAAATTGGGTGCTATTAATGTGGCTTAGAACCTTGACACAACAGAGTTCCTCTAAATTTAGGATTGTCTTGTGTTTGCCCAGAATATTACTATTTTTCTGTGTATAAGACAATACTTTTTTCTAAAATCGTTACACTAAAAATTGAAGGTCGTCTTGTGCAAGGAAGTAAGCTGAGGAGAGAACCGCGCAA